GACCCCTGGGTGGCTCAGCAGTTGAGCATCTGCCTTTGGTTCAAGATGTGATCCCAGAGTCCCAGGATCAAGTCCCACATCAGGCTCCCCTCAAAGAGCCTGCTTCCCCCTCTGCCTATGTATCTGCCTCTCTGTGTCTCTCATGAATAAATAAATAAAATCTTAAAAAAAAAAACATGCTATGCGAAATAAGCCAGATACAAAAGGACATAATAGGCAAATTCAGAGACACCAAAAGTAGAACAATAGTTACAAAGGGTTGGAGGGAAGAGAAAATGGGGAGTTAGTGTTTAGTGGGTACAGAGTTTTGGTTTGGGGTGATGTAAAAGTTCTGGAGGTGAACAGTGGTGACAGTTGAACAACAGCATGAATGTACTTAACACCACTTAATTGTACACTTGAAAATGGTTGAAATGGTAAATTTTGTTATGCATATGTTCTACCATAATTTTGCAAAATGTTAAAAAAAAGTGAGAGATATCTTAACCTATTTACCACATCTGCACTCTTGATGTGAAGGTCACAGACACTGCTTTGATCTATTTATGAAGAAAGGGTGACAAAAAAACACAGACATTATCAGACAATAAGTACCTCCAGAGTGAAACAATTCTGCTACCATCCCCCTCTGTTTCCAGGCATTTCTTTGAAACTTCTAACATATTTCAGATTTCCTCATAAGGAAAATACCCAATTCAACAAGTCATAACTTATTTTATGACATATACTTCATGAATTTCATGTCTTGGGAGACAGAAGAATAAAGCAAGTTATTTTGGCTCTAGGCTTTATTTTGAGCAACAAGGAGAATTAAAGTGGAAAAGAAGAAAAACTAAAATTAAGTGATTCATACTACGTTAAAGGAACTCCCACACAGATTTTCTCATTTAATATCATAAGAACACTGGAAAGAATTTTCTCTACTTTACACGTGAGAAACTTGAGAGTCAAAGAGGTTAAGAAAATTTCTCGAGTTCACATAGCTAGTGCACAAGGTAGTAAAAACAAACTCATGACTATCTGAAAAAATCAAAAAAAGTTTTTTCTGTTACTTTAAAATATGGGGGAAAGTAACCATGTTACTGTAATGTCTGTATTGTAGTATCCAAAGAAGGAAGCCCTGAGTATATTTAGATATAAATCCTAAAAACAAGAAAAGCCAATATCAAAAGTTCAGGAGGAAGACTGGGACAGTCCCAAAGTCATAAACTCTGATAGAGAGTTAAGTATGGGTTAAGGCTGAATGAGAGGTTGTTAAAACAAGAGTCAGATGATATAATCTCACATCATGATAATGAAGAAAGATGTTACAGGGTGAAGAGCATCGTGATAGATTTAAAGAAACCAAAGTATTTTCCAGAGAACTCTCTGGTCAACATACATTTTAAAATAACAAACCAACAACTATAACAAACAAATGCTAAGAGAAGAGAGGGAGCAGAAGGGCACTGGTTTCTGGGGCAGTGGAGTGGGCCTAAAAAATAAACTAAACAAAAAACAAATGCTAATATCCTAAATGAACAGAGCCTAATAGAAAAATCTGACAACAAAAATCAAGAACTTAAATATATCTAAAGATCTAAAGATAAATTCAAAGGACAAGAGAAACAATAGAGTAGATGTCATAAAAAACTAAAAAAGTAATGGAGTGATTCAATTTTAATTTTGTTCTCAATTATTTTTAAAGATTTTATTTATTTGAGAGAAAGTAAGAGAGAGAGCACAAGTGGTGGGAGGGAGAGGGAGAAAGAAGCAAACTCCCCTCTGAGCAGAGAGCCAATACAAGGCTGGATCCCAGAACAGTGGGATCATGAACTAAGGCAAAAGCAGACACTTAACCGACTGAGCCACCAGGCACCCCATCAATTTTCTTATTATTCTCTCAAAAATAAAATAAATATTTAAGTCCAGGAAAGAAAAAAGAGATAATAAGTGAGCATCTCACTAGTTTTTAAATATATTTAAATCCCAAGAATCCTATAATGTACATTCCAGATTTCAACTTCAAATAATTTTTTAAACATGAACAGAAAAGGCATCAAAAACAAAAACAAAAACAAAAAAAGAATAGAAAATCCACAGAAGGCAATTAATAGGAAGTGTTGTCTTGTTTTTTAGCATGCACAAGATGTATCAGGAAGCCAACAAGTACAATATTTCTATACGTGGCTGATATAGTTTAAAATCTGGCTCTGAATTTTAAAAAAAAAGTCTAGCTCTGCCAGATTTGTAGACTTACATTTGTTCACTAACTCTTGTTCATTAACCACTCATTCATCAATAAATGGAGATGTTGAATCCTGTTTCATAGGATATACTGTGAAAATTGAGAATAATATACATAAAATACCTGGCACATGGTCGGTGCTCCATATATATTAGTTTCCTATTTATTATTATTATTATTTATTATTATTATTATTATTATTATTATATTTTGATGTAACTGAACTAAGAAGTGGGCTACATTTATATATCCTACTGACAGATAACTATTTAACAGCATGAGAGAGATACTTTCCCATACCTTTATAGCCTCTGGCATATAACAAACTAATTCTCTAGCAGTATTCTCTACCAGTGGAATGCCAATTTGAAACTTTCTATTTTATAGTGAAAGGGAATAAAGGGGAAAGGAGGGAAAATGAGTGGGAAATATCAGAGAGGGTGATGGAACATGAGAGACTCCTAACTCTGGGAAACGAACAAGGGGTGGTGGAAAGGGAGGTGGGTGGGGGTTTGGGGTGACTGGGTGACGGGCACTGAGGGGGGCACTTGATGGGATGAGCACTGGATTTTATGCTATATGTTGGCAAATTGAACTCCAATAAAAAGAAATTAAAAAAAGAAAACTTTCTATTTTAATAGACTCATATGCTCTTTTGGTAGCTGTTTAGTCCTAAGTATGATACTAAGAATATCAAGCATACCTTAAAATAGTACGTAAATCTTGCCTTGAGAACCAAAGAATAACAATGCTAGTAACAAGAGGCTCAGGAGATCAGATATAAGTCAAGCTGGTTCTAATAGAATCTGACAAAAGCTGGAGGCAAGAAAAAGAATTAGACCAGAGAATCCAGAAAGACTCCACAGGAATGTCAGAAGGGGTCATAAGACCCCGTGATGAGAAAATAAACTGGTTTTGGCAATATAGCCAATCTAACTCTGTTCAGCTTACTCAACAGCAGAGGCAGGATTCAGGGAAAGTAAAGAAAGATAGAAAGACATTCCTCTAATACCCCTCCATTCCTTTGGGGGAGCACAGAGAAACAGAAATACCGCCAAGCCCCAGATATTCTGTGCCTTAGCTCTTTTCCTCCTTAGCTTTCATTATCACCTGGCCTCATTTATAATAGACACTATACCACACTTCTCTGTGGTACAGTCTTACATTATGACTCACAACTCTGTTTATCAGTATTTGTCCTGCAATGTTTCAAGCTCTTTGCTCACTTCTGCTATTGACTTTAGTCAGCTCAAGTCTTCAGAGGCAACTGCAGCAGAGTAAGAATAGGAGTTGCTGCAAAAGACCCAGAAAGCGAGGCTATTATGATCAGATTCCATGAAACCAAGATTTCATATATCTAATGAATAGACCCCAATGCATTCTACCACCTAGTTTGGGGAAGGCATAAAAGAAAAGGAAGTCACAGGGACAGGCTGATTTGGAATTAGATTCTATGGAGAATTTCAAAGGAATTTCTCATTTGATAGAAACAAGAAATCTAGATGCTGTAATCTTTCCTTAAAATAGGAAGTTGTAAAACTTAGGGACTTCATATTCTCCTCAACAGCTTTAGAGTAGTTATCTCTCTGAATTTCTCCAAAGAATGTTAATATAGCTGAATTCCTTTTTTTTTTTAAACTGAAGAACAGTTTACACACAATGTCACATTAGCTTCAGATGTACAACATAGTGATTGGACAAATCTGGGCATGCTGTGCTACAAAAGTAGTTAGCATCTGTCACTATACAATGTTATAATAGTTTAATTCTTAACAAACTATTCTCTATGACTTGATTCTACCAAAAAAGAGTACATAAAACAGTATCAACACACAAAAATCAGCATGCAATTAGCACTAAAAACCTAATTAGAATTTATTTTCTTTGTATATGTTATTTACATTGACAAGTTAGAATTTGATTTTTGTATTCAGGATGTCAATTCCTTATATTACCTTGAGATGCTCTAGGATTAATAAAGAGCTCTCCTCCAGGAGACTGCTGGGTGGACAGGAAGGATCTGAGAAGCTTACAGGAAGTGGAGCCCACCAACTTAGCCCTGCAAGGGGGTTAAGATCTCTCTCTCTCTCTCTCTCTCTCTCTCTCTCTCTCTCTCACACACACACACACACACACACACACACACACACATACACACAGACGATCATACATGCACACTTTCCTTTCTTCTTTACCAACTTTCTGGAATTTCTTCCTCCTCATGCCTCTCCCTCACCCCCCATCCCAATTGCTTCCTAGTCTAGAACTTGCTGGATTCCAAAGAATGAAGGGAAATTGTTGAAAGACATTTAAGCCGTTACCACAGTCTCTTTGTCCCCAAGATATCTCTCTTCCCCTCCTTCCCAAATTCCACCAGCTGTTGCGCAAGAATCTGCTGTCTCCTTGTTGTTGGACTCCAATGTTTCTAGATCTAATGCTTTCTTTTAATTAGACCTGTATTTCAGGCCTAATTCCTATGTGTTAATACTCACCACCCTTCCATTTCCAGCACACACACGTACACACATTCCAGAGTATGCAAACATCTAGGTTTCCACACATGAAGATTGCTGGGTCAGGCAGAGAAAGGGTAAGGACTAGGAAGAAGGAAGGAAGCAGGGGTAGAGGAGGAGGAAGGAAAGGAAAGAACAAGGAGAGAGAAAGGGAGAGAAAGAGAAGAATGTTCCTTTTGTTCCTCAAAAGAGAACACACGATACTTTGGAACACCATTCACCAACATAACAACCTACATTTGCTAAATGTTTGCATTTACCATTTCTTGGTTGTCTGTGAACATAAGGAGATGTGAGTCTTCAGCTAAGCAGAATTCCAGACTAGAATTCCAGTCTTTTTTCTCCACTGAGAAGTAATAACAATGGTTACCATACCTCATCCAGAGGTCAGGGCAACTATAACAATTGGCACACGTGTTGCACTTGGAACCTAGAAAGGAAGAGGACTGGTCACATCTTTATGCACCACTTAGTCTTGGAAATGAAATGGGAGGTAAACAGCTTATGGCAGCCCCATGGTCTTCCCTGCCCCAGCACCTTTCAGACTAAAGTTTAGAGAAAGGCACAACAATTCATGGCCTCAAATTAAAAACTTCATAATGAAAAAAAAAAACTTCATAATGGGGACACCTAGTGGCTCAGCAGTTGGGCGTCTGCCTTTGGCTCAGGGTGTGATTCTGGAGTCCTGGGATCGAGTCCCACGTCAGGCTCCCTGCGGTGGGCCTGCTTTTCTCCCTCTGCCTGTTTGTCTGCCTCTCTTTGTGTGTCCCTCATGAATAAATAAATAAAATCTTTAAAAATAAATAAATAGTAAAAATAAAAACTTCATAATGTCCAACTTTATCACTACTGTACATTCCACTACACAAGCATGTGACTATGACTAAAGCAGTAAGGAAACGGACACAACGAGGCTGAGGACCGTGGACAGAGCGCATCACTAGTGCTAGGTCTTTACACACATATGCTATATACCTACCAGATAAGATAACCAAGCATCTGCATTGTATGTGTCAGCCCACTGTCTATGTAGGCTCAGTGCACATACTACATAACTGCATAGATACATTACTGAAATCAGGAAGAATTTTCCAGAATGTCCAAACTCAACCTGATACCCTGTGATAGTGCAAAAGAAAAAGACAGAAACTAGAAAAAGCAAACTTAACTAGAGTGAAAGATAGGTGTTTTATCTTTTATCACAAATGTGATTATCTGCCATCACTAGATATTAGATAAAAGACTTATATTTCAGCAGAAAGAATTTATCAAACAAAAACTTTCCAACAGAGAAGGATATTAGATGCTAAAGTGAAAGTGATGCAATTTCTTCACGGGGCTCCTTTAAATACAGAACATTCTCATTCCTTTAAAATGGCTGGATTGTATCTTTTAAAAAGGAGGTGGCACCTGAGGGGTTCAGTTTGTTAAGTGTCTGCCTTCGGCACAGGTCATGATCCCAGGGTCCTGGGATGAGCCCTGCTTCTTCGGGCTCCCTGCTCAGCCACGAAATACATTTGTATAAACTCCTCATAGGCACAATTCCACAACAGGCAAGTATGAGCCATTATATCAAATAAGCATAGGTGTGGATAAATGACTGCATAATAGAGTATATACCTAATGTAGATTAGGGAGTTAAAAGGTAGTGAAGGCAGTCCTTTTTGAAAATGTCAAAATTGGACAACTTTTCTGTGGCTTGGCATGGGACCAATACAGGGTTCTGGAGATCAAGTTACAATGCTGACATGCTGACACCTTATAGATTTGTGCTTTTTCCATACAACTGTGACATTACCCAGGCTGAATGAAAAATTCCCAACTTCCTTGGAGTTTCTTTCTGTCAAAGGACTTGGGTCGAGGTAGAAGTCCTAGGGCTGAACTCTTAGAGTCCAAATGAATAAAGTCTGTATAACAATCATCTGTTACTAACAATTATTTCCAGATAACTAAACTTAAGTCAGGACTCTGGATTGTGAAATAATAAACTGAGTGCTTTTTGGATCATCATATTTAATGACCTAGAAGAATTAAATTTAGAAAATTTCACTTTGTTTTTTTTTTTTTTAGAAAATTTCACTTTAGACAATATGAAAGTACTCTAATTGGAAAAAATCAGAATATATTTTTATATATCTATATATGAAAAGCTAAACATAATTAATACACAAATAATGCAATTATAATTTGATTATCATGATAAATATGATAGTAAATAGAAAAGTGTTTAGGACATAATATAATTAAAAAGCAATATACAAAATTATAAGCATATAATAATCAGAACTATACCCAGGCTTACTTTAAAAAAAAAGTGGGGAAGATTTTAGAGGACTTGATATTCTTTTTTAAAATAATACTTACACAAATGCATGCAGTCAAAGCCCAGGAGACTATACCCAGGAAATGTATACAAGTGGTGAGTTATTTTGTTGGCTTTATTTTTCTTTTTTTAAAAGGTTTTATTTTCTTATTCATGAGAGAGAGAGAGAGGCAGAGACAGAGGCAGAGGGAGAAGCAGGCCCCATGCAGGGAGTCTGATGTGGGGCTCGATCCTGAGACCACGGGATCACGACTCCAGCCAAAGGCAGATGCAACTGCAGAGCCACCCAGGCGTCCCTGTTGGCATTATTTTTCAATTTTCAAATTTTCTGTTATGTTTTATTGCTCTTATAACACAATATAAGTAAAATAGGGATATTTGGTTGGTTCAGTCAGAAGAGCATGTGACTCTTGATGTCAGGGTCATGAGTGCAAGCCTGCAAGCCCCACATTGAGTGTAGAGATTACTTAAATGAATAAGCTTTTTCAAAAAAATAGGCGAAATAAAAGATTTTGATTTAAGTTAGTACTTACCCTGACAGAGAATCCACTGAACAAGCAGGAAACACACAAGAATAGTGCTCAGAAATCCCAAAGCTATTGCCACACGGCGTGAGAGAGGGGACCTGCCAGAAGAAACTGCAAGAACAGAATCCAAAATAAAATTCTGAGTTACAGTAAAAGTTACAATAAAAGTTGAAGGAAGGCAGCCCTGGTGGCGCAGCGGTTTAGTGCTGCCTGAAGCCTGGGGTATGATCCTGGAGACCCGGGATGGAGTCCCACATCGGGCTTCCTGCATGGGGCCTGCTTCTTCCTCTGCCTGTGTCTCTGCCTCTCTCTCACTCTCTCTGAATGAATAAATAAATAAATCTTAAAAAAAAAAAAAGTTGAAGGAAAAGAAAAGGCAAAGGAAGGATATCTGGAGCCTTGCACAAATTTGGTCTAATGAGAACTGAGACCCAGGCCCTAAAATTTTCTTTGCTGGATATGAGGAACTTGCTCTCAAGTCTAGAATAACAACCCACATCTTTATCAAGGAACATCCTATGTTTATCAAGTTAAGAATACTTTTTCTTGGGGCACCTGGGTGGCTCAGTCTGTTAAGCAGCCGACTGGATTTTGGCTCAGGTCATGAACTCAGGATCTTGGGATCAAGCCCCATGTCAGGCTCCCCACTCAGCAGGGAGTCTGACTCAGGATTCTTTCTCTCTCTCTGCCCCTCCCTCATTCTCTTTCTCATTAAATAAATAAATCTTTTAAAAATATACTTTTTTTCTTTTGAAGTTCTGACTTACACAGTTTCATGCTTTAGTGGTAAAAATATTAATTGGTACAATCTCTTTGAAGGACAATTTGGCAATGCCTGCAAAAATTGCAAAGGCATTTATCATTTGATCCAGCAATTTCTCTTTGAGGATTTTTTCCTACAGATACCCATATGCAAAATATCATATTTATAAGGCAATTCATGGCAACAGTATTTGTAGGAGAAAATGTTATAGACCAGTCAAATACATTTTGATATAGCTATAAAGTGAATATGTAACTTCTAACAAAGGAATAAAGACATGCTTTTTTTTTTTTTTTTTTTTTTTTTTTACAGATTCGGATTGATTTTCATGATAGGTAGTTCAGGGAAAGAAACATCCTGCAAAATTATGTACGCTAGTATCTCTGAAAGTAGACATAAGAATCTGATAGTGTTGTTTGCCTCTGCAGAGAGGAAATAGGTCACTGAAGACAAAAACAGGAGGGATACTTGTTTTCTTTTGCACTTCTGAATTTTGAACCACGTGGGGTATTACCTATTCAAAATTTAAATAACTACAACTTAATTGAAAATAAAATAACCTATATCTCAGAAATACTTTATAAACTGTCATTGCTGAAAGAATAATGAGTTTTAGTTGATATGTTTAAGGATGGAACACTACTTCATATTAACTATGTTACATATAAGAATACTATTTTCCTTCATTTGGAAAATGGAAATTTTTCTTAATCCAAACTTTTATTTCAAAATCACAGTGGTCTCACAGTCTGACAATGTAGGAGTTATGTGTAAAGAACAAAAGTGTATAAAGTAATAATTTAAGTGCTGGTTTTGACCCCTTTATTTGGTAATCTTTAATTTGGAAATTCTGACTATCTGGAGTCTCACTTGACTACTTAAATTTTAGATAAATTATACTGTAGACATGTGTGTATATCCATGAAGCATTCTAAACTTCTTCTTCTACAAGTGAGGGAGAGGTGGAGATAGAATCTTAAACTGGCTCCGTGCCCACCATGGAGCTCGACAAGGACTTCAATCCTATGATCCTAAGTCCAAATCAGGGTCAAACGCCTAATCAACTGAACCATGCAGGGCCACTTCCTTATATTTTTAAATTTATTTTAGCATTCTGAACTTTTTTTTTAGGATTTTATTTATTTATTCATGAGAGACACAGAGAGAGAGGCAGAGGCAGTGACACAGGCAGAGGGAGAAGCAGGCTCCATGCAGGGAGCCCGAAGTGGGACTCGATCCCTGGTTTCCAGGATCACACCCTGGGCTGAAGGCAGGCGCTAAACCACTGAGCCACCCAAGCTGCCGCATTCTGAACTTCTTAAAAGAAATTCATAGTGAGGGGCACCTGGGTGACTTAGTTGGTTAAGTGTCGGACTCCTGATTTCTGACTCATGATCTTAGGGCCTCAGGATTAAGCCCCATGTTGGGCTCTGCACTCCATATGGAGTCTGCTTGTCCTTCTCCCTCTGCTCCTCCCCCAGCTCATGTTCTCTTTCTCCCTCTCTAAAATAAATAAATTAAATTAAATCAAAAAAAAAAAAAAAGAGGGACGTCTGGGTAGCTCAGTGGTTAAGCATCTGCCTTTGGCTGAGGTCGTGACCCCAGGGTCCTGGGATTGAGTCCACATCAGGCTCCCCACAAAGAGCCTGCTTCTCCCTCTGCCTGTGTCTCTGCCTCTCTCTGTCTCTCATGAATAAATAAATAAAACCTTTAAAAAATAAAAAAAGGAAAGAAATATATAAGAAGAGCTATTTTTTATTGGAGTTCAATTTACCAACATATAGCATAACACCCAGTCCTCATCCCCCCAAGTGCCCCCCTCAGTGCCCATCACCCAGTCACCCCAACCCCCCGCCCACTTCCCCTTCCACTACCCCTTGTTCATTTCCCAGAGTTAGGTGTAATGAGAGCTATTTTTAAAATGAGAGAGTTCTGCTTGATAAATATTTGGACTAGCACATCCAAAAACACTAGATTTCTAGTGACCTAAATAAAAAACTACATTTTCACTATAGTAAACTATTTAATGAAATAAATGACTTTAGATGTCATACAAAATGAAAAAAAGTATCAAAGCTTAACTGTATTTCTGTAACCACAATCCAATTTAAGAAATTAAGTGAAATTTTAAATTTTTAAAAATTTACTTTAGAGGGCAGCCCCGGTGGTGCAGCAGTTTAGTGCCGCCTGCAGCCTGGGGTGTGATCCTGGAGACCCGGGATCGAGTCCCACATCGGGCTTCCTGCATGGAGCCTACTTCTCCCTCTGCCTGTGTCTCTGCCTCTCTCTCTTAACTCTCTCTCTGAATGAATAAATAAATAAATCTTTAAAAAAAATTACTTTAGAAATATACATATCATGGGGCGCCTGCGTGGCTCAGTTGGTTAAGCATCTGCCTTCAGCTGATGTGGTGATCTCAGGGTCCTGCGATTGAGTCCTGAATCTGGCTCCCTGCTCAGCAGGGGAGTCTGCTTCTCTCCCACGCTCTCCCCCTGCCTCTCCCTGCCTTGGCTCATGCTCTCTCTCTCTCAAATAAATAAATAAAATCTTTTTTTAAAAAAAGAAATATACATATTAAAAGCCTCTTAGTAGGGATCCCTGGGTGGCGCAGCGGTTTGGCGCCTGCCTTTGCCCAGGGCGCGATCCTGGAGACCAGGGATCGAGTCCCACATCGGACTCCCGGTGCATGGAGCCTGCTTCTCCCTCTGCCTGTGTCTCTGCCTCTCTCTTTCTGTGACTATCGTAAATAAATTTTTTAAAAAAAGCCTCTTAGTAGAGTACATAAAGTACAGTTGGCATAGACAGGCAAAAATAGATCAAAATAGTAAGAGTAATAATCATCACATTGTAAAATTATTAGTGATTTTTATTTTCTTATATCAGCTTTCATAGTTAACGTATTCTCTATAATAAACATGTAATAATTTTGTGAAGAGATTTTTAATGTAATTTTAAAGCTTCTAGTCTATTTTCCTATTCCCAAGTAGAGCACCCTGGAAAGTTGGGGTGGAAATGAGCATCCTGGCAGTAAACAAGAATGTGCAAAGTGTACTGTATATAAATACAAAAAGACTTTTGCCTGGAAATCAAAATATTTATATTCAAGTTCCAGCTTAGTACCAGCTGTGTGACCTTGCACTTATACTTTAGAACGTAGATTCCTCTGACTTAACATTTCTATTGCTTAGAAATTGGTACAGATATTATCCAAAGGAAAGAAATCTATATATAAATGAAAATAGCCAGTGCCATACAATTTATAGTCATAGAAATAAAGCCAAATGTCCGAGTATACTGGAATGATATAGTAAATTATAGCAATGCTTTCAAAGAACAACACTAAAAATCATAATAATAAGAGTATGTAGCAAAAAGAGAGAAAGCTGATAAAGCCACACTGAAGAATATACTTTATGGGAGTTTATTGCCTAAGATATAAAATTAAATATTAATTTTGGCTCTTAAATTATGATCTGCCTGTCTCAGGAAGTGTTCTCTCAGAAGTCCACATAAAAATGTCTTTTTCATCCTCAAATCTCCAAAAAATCACCAGGAACACTTATTTGTAGTATTCTTGATACCTTCTTCCTATTTCTAAAACACTCCAGTGCAATACTGTGAGAGGGAAACCTAGATAATGTGAATAGGTTTCTTTTCTAACAAACTCTTACTATTATCCATTAGCAAAGTTATTGGTATCTTTTTTCCCCATTTCATAGTCTGAAAAAGAGAGATACTTAGAATTTAAACAGCCTTAGCTTGAGTTTCATAGAAGTGAATGGTTACAAAAGATTTTACCTGAGACCTAAGATCAGATCCTTGACCATATACCAGATTTTCATATTCCAAATCTGGACTCCAAACTAAACTAAATGTATTCCTTCAAAGTACCCTCAATTTGGGCAGCCCCGGTGGCGCGGCGGTTTAGCGCTGCCTGCAGCCTGGGGTGTGATCCTGGGGACCCGGGATCAAGTCTCACATCAGGCTTCCTGCATGGAGCCTGCTTCTCCCTCTGCCTGTGTCTCTGCTTCTCTCTTCACTCTCTCTGAATGAATGAATAAATAAATCTTTAAAAAAAATTCTTTAAAAAAAAAAAGTACCCTCAATTTTTCTATATCCTGTACTCCAAACTTATTCTACCTCCCATTCATCCCCCACTATGCACAGTTTCGCACATGAACTTGATTAACTCACCTTTTGGCTGTGGTCTGTAGTCATTCTGGGCTTGGGGTTCAGTAGACCACTGCCGTACAGAATAAATATCATTGTCAATCATCTTTATCTAATGTCATTCACATTCAGCTGAGAGAGTAAAATTACAGAAGTATGAAGAGACACGTCTGTGAGGAAACACAGACACAATGTCTAAACTGCTGGCAGGAAATTTAAAGGTTGTCAAGTTCTTTTTTTTTTTTTTTTAATGGTCCAGCATGATAAAAACAGAAGTAATTTTTCAGGAAATGACTCAAAATCTGGAGTTGATTAAGAAATTAATACTCTAAAATGTGATTTTTTTTTCCTCACTACACTCTCTCATAGATACTCATTAAATACATGTTAAATTGATTCCAATCTCACCTAATTCTATTCAGCAAGGACAAGGTGCTCTAAAGTCCAGCAATTTCAATTAAGGAAACTGGAATAAAAATGACAGTGGTTCTTAGCTATGAATTTATCTCAGATTTTATATTTGCTTTGTTTCCTTTTCAGAAAATAGGTGCATGTCCAATGGGACCAATTTCATTGTTTCTTGGAGCTGTTAGTTGATGATATGTACAACAAGAGAAATGGACTGTTGGGGCAGCCCGGGTGGCTCAGCAGTTTAGCGCCACCTTTCAGCCCAGGGCCTGATCCTGGAGACCTGGGGTCAAGTCCCACGTCGGGCACCCTGAGTGGAGCCTGTGTCTCTGCCTCTCTCTCTCTCTCTCTCTCTCTCTCTCTGTCTCTCATGAATAAATAAATAAAATAAAATAATAAAAAGAAAGAAAGAAATGGACTGTGCTGGCTGCCTGTGCCTGGCAACATGGAGAAAATGAACTATTTCATATATATGGCTTGTGAATATGCTGTACCCCCATGTTCCCCTAAACATCTTCCCAATTGTGTTCTAATCTTTACACTTCACAGTGTCAGACATTCCACTAAATTTTCTCTCCTTGGTCTCTCATTTTTATGTGCAAAGACACCTATAAGGGAAACGAATTAAATAAATACATACTCAAGTGTGAATAATGTATTTCTAAATAGGTGAACCGTTAATAAAAAGTTAAAGTAAGGAAAAGAGAAACGAAATTAAAACTCTCCATAAGTTCAAGATAAGAAAGAGCTGAAAAACGGGGAGAGTATAGTAATAAAAGCTAGTATAGCTCTGGGGGGCCTGGCCAGCTCAGTTGGTAGGGCACATGACTCTTGATCTCAGAGTCATGAGCTTGAGCTCCACGTTGGGCACAGAGATTACTTTAAAAAATGATAATCATTAAAATATATATATATTTAAAAAAAAAACTAATAGAGTTCTGCTTCCCACCATAACAGAGTAAGACTGGACTTAACCTTTCAGCCAGAAAAAAACTATATATATGATAAAATGCATGAAATACACGAGGCAACTGTTTTCAGGCACAGAAATACACGCAGCACTGTGATCCCTAAAAAAAACAGAACATGCAAAGGTGAGCACCAGGGTCACCTGGTGTTCTGCCTAGGGCCATTCTCCAGCACAAAGTAGGAAAATGAATCCTAAATAGAACAGCAGTCTCACTAAGTCTCACTAAGCTGCTCACTAAGAGGCAGAGATGCAAGTTTTGAACTGTTTGTGTGCTTGGAGCTTACAGGCAGGGTAACTGACAAGAGGTGTCCAAAAACTAGATGGGAATTCGCCGTGGTCCTTTGCTGAGAGCTAGGCTGCACAGGCCAAGGACAGGCCCCTGAAAGCCCCTGTTGGGATGGCCCCCTGCAGGGCAGACAGCTGAATACAGACCAGAGGTGATACAATGCTGACCAGTATGCCCAGAGGAAAAAAAAAAAGTAAAACCCAACAGAACCAAAAAGATCTACCAAAAACTTAGCTGCCTCTAAGAACAAACTTTGATGCCCTTACAAAGAAGACAACAGGGGTTCTTGGGTAGCTCAGTCAGCTGGGCATCTGCCTTTGGCTGGGGGTCATGATCCCATGGTCCTGGGATCTGAGCCCCACATCAGGATCCCTGCTCAGTGGTAAGCCTGCTCCTCCTTCTCCTGCTCCCCCTGCTTATGCATGCTCTCCAACAAATAAATAAATAGAATCTTTTTAAATTAAAAAAAAGACAACATAAAATGTGGTTTATACAAAAAATAGAATATTATTCAATCTTAAAAAGGAAGAAAATTGTGTCACACTCTACAACATGGAGGGACCTTGAAGATATTCTGATAAATGAGGGATACCTGGGTGGCTCAGTGCCTAAGTGTCTGCCTCCAGCTCAGGTCGTGATCCAGGGGGCCCTGGGATCAAGTCCTGCATGGGGTTTCCTGCAGGGAGCCTACTTCTTCCTCTGCCTGTGTCTCTGCCTCTCTCTCTATGTCTCTCATGAATAAATAAATAAACAAATAAATAATCCTTTTTAAAAAAGATATTATGATAAAAGAAATAAGTCCATCACATGCAGGCACACACACCCATACACAAAAAGACATATACTCTGTGATTCCGCATATATGAGGTATCCAAAGCAGTCAATTCATAGAAACAGAAAATAGAATGGTGATTGCTGGAACTGGGGAGAGGGAGAAATGGGGAATTATTTAATGGTTATAGCTTCAGTGCTACAAGATGAGAAACTCCTGGAGCTATGTTTTACAACAAGGTGAATATACTTGTACCAGTCTGCTTAGGCAGCCGTAACAAAACACCGTAGACTAGTAGCTTAAACAACAGAAATTTATTTGCTCACATTTCTGGACACTGGAAGTTCACGATGAAGCTGCTGGCAGGGTTGGTATCTGGTGAGAACTCCTCCGTTGGGCTGCAGAGGCCTTCTCACCATGGTGCTCCGTAGCCTTTCCTCAGCGCACTTTTGCAGGAAGAAAGGGAACCTGCACACTCTCTGGTGGCTCTTCTTATAAAGGCACTAATTCTATCAGATCAGGACCCCACCATAATGATCTCATTAACTTTAGTTACTTTCTTCTGTTAGGAGTTAGTTAGTTAGTTGGACAGGTAGTCAGGGCTAGGGTCCCCAATAAGAAAATATGGACAGGACAGCTGAAATAAAATAGCACTGATGTCTTGTTCTGCAGCTTAGAAACACACTAGCATTCTGCTTTGCAGCCTTTGCAGAAATCAGTTCTGCAAAATGTCCTAAAATAAGACAACCACAAAAGCATGTCAATATCATAAGCAAGAAGCAGTTAAGACCTAAGTCCCCAGATACCCGCAAAAAAAAGACCATCAGCGCAGAGACAGTAACCTAACCTAAGAGGGAGACAGATACGTGACCAAAGCTCTGATTGGCATGACTCAGCACACCCTGATCGCTTAAGAAAGTCTTGCTTAAAAGAGCTCATAAAAACCCCTAAACTTAGAAACTCTGGGGGCAACCCACTTGGCCCCCCTCCCTCTCTGGGAGCTTTATACTCTTGCTCATAAACTTTACTCTGCTTCCCATCACTCTTCATTCTTCAAAACGGCATGACCAAGAACCTGGGCACTCAGGGGACGAAATTCTTATACCACTTAAAGACCCCATCACAGGGGTACCTGGGTGGCTCAGTGGTTGAGGGTCTGCATTTGGCTCAGGTCTGATCCCGGGATCCTGGGATCAAGTCCCACACTGGGCTCTCCTCAGGCAGCCTTCTTCTCCCTCTGCCTGTGTCTCTGCCTCTCTCTCTGTGTCTCTCATGAATAAATATAATATCTTAAAAATAAATAAATAAATAAATAAATAAATAAATAAATGCCCTATCATAAAATAAATAAAGCCACACTGGAGGTTAAGCTTTCAACATATGACTTTGGGGAGGGAAGGGGACACAAATATTAAGTCCATAACAATATTTAACACTACTTAGCAGTATACTTAAAAACAGTTAAGATGGGGGTGGGGGACAGTTAAGATGGGCTGAAGAAGGGCAGCCCCAGTGGCCCACTGGTTTAGCACCACCTTCAGCCCAGGGCGTGATCCTGGAGACCCGGGGTCGAGTCCCACGTCGGGCTCCCTCCATTGAGCCTACTTCTCCCACTGCCTGTGTCTCTGCCTCTCTCTCTCTCTCTCTCTCTCTCTCTCTCTCTCTCTCTCTCTCTGTGTGTGTGTGTGTGTGTGTGTGTGTCTCATGGATAAATAAATTAAATCTTAAAAAAAAAAAAAAAAAGATGACCTGAAGAAGAAGGAAGAGGACAAGACGGAGGCAGTGGTGGCAGCATAAGAACTAGAACTCTTGGGATCCCTGGGTGGCGCAGCGGTTTAGCGCATGCCTTTGGCCCAGGGCGCGATCCTGGAGACCCGGGATCCAGTCCCACGTCGGGCTCCTGGTGCATGGAGCCTGCTTCTCCCTCTGCCTGTGTCTCTGCCTCTCTCTCGCTCTCTGTGTGACTATCATAAATAAATTAAAATTAAAAAAAAAAAAAACTAGAACTCTTTGAGGAAATGACTAAATCTAGGGTCAGGGCACAGAAAATCCAAGAAGAGCCTGGGCACCTTTTACTGCTAGAAAATGAGGAAGTACTCAAAAACTAAAACAAAACAAAAGATGAGGACATGTCAGAAGGACACAGGAACCAATTTGACAAAGTTCCCATTGGCTAAAAATGAAATAATTAGAGCAACAAAATAAATAATAGTATTGGATTAGAACTCAGGAATTTTTAAAAAGCTATGAATTCATACTGACTTTTATCTGCAGCATTTTTAATTAAAATTGTGTATACTAAAAAATTTTTTTAAAAATTAAAAAATAAAAAATAAATAAAAATAAAATAAAATTTTAAAAAACAAAGTTTGTTTAAAAAAAAAAAATTGTGTTGGGATCCCTGGGTGGTGCAGCGGTTTAGCGCCTGCCTTTGGCCCAGGGCACAATCCTGGAGACCCAGGATCGAATCCCACATCGGGCTCCTGGTGCATGGAGCCTGCTTCTCTCTCTGCCTGTGTCTCTGCCTCTCTCTCTCTCTCTCTCTCCTCCTCTCTCTCTCTCTAACTATCATAAATAAATAAATTAATTTTTAAAATAATAAATAAATAAAAATAAAAATAAAAAAATTAAAAAAGAATTGTGTATACTGGGACGCCTGGGTGGGTGAGCTGTTGAGTGTCTGCCTTTGGCTCAGGGTGTGATCCCGT